CAAGGAGGCAGATTAGTAAATCATAGTCCCAAGAATTTTTACCTTAAATAGCAAAATTTTACTAACCTTTACTTATGAATTAAAACTACCCATATTCTGGGGCTTCAGACATACAGCAAATACCTGATAGTTGATTCATCATTAATACGTTGAAGCCACATCTTTAAACCACCCTGTACACTTTCATAATAGTCAAGATTTTCAAATGAAAATTTGTTATTATATTTTATTGTTATCTGTTTTATAACAAAATATGCCTCATTAAGTATTTAATAGTTTCAAAATATTTATTTTTAGTATCTCCTTCTAAAAGCCCCATTTGTGTGTGACAGCATCCAAATTAAGGAGCTGTTTTGTCTAACAGCATTTCTCTTACAATGGTCTCTCAAATTTCACAATATAAGAGAATTTAGAAATACAAAAATAACATAAACAATATCATGTCTCTGAAACATAAAACAAAACTTCAGATTACATCAATTGCATTTCCAAATTATCCCGTATGAAAATCATCAATCTTATTACCTTTGGCATTTTAAAACCACTGTAGAGTTATCAGGCATGGAACAATTATATTCAATTAAAGAAATAATAATAATTTAGTGCTTGGCATATGCCATTCACTGTGTTAAGCACTTTATAATCATTATATTATTTTGATTTTTACAACAACCCTGGAAGGTGAATACCATTATTATTTTTCTGTTTACAGATCAGGAAACTGGAGCAAACAGAGATAAGATAATTTGCCTAAGATTACACAGCTAATACATTACTGCAACTGGAACATAATTCAGGTTTTCCTACATTTTTCCCAGAATTTTTTTCAACACCTTCATTTGGGAATCTGATCTAAGATGATCAAGGAAGGGTTAACAAGGGATGGCTATAAGGTGCAGACCTTTTGCCTATTTTTTTTTTCCTTTCTCCACTCTGGGGTTACTTCTAAACTAGCTGCCTTCCTTCACTTCCCTAGAACAACAAAGCTGTTAATCTTGCCATTTATTTTTAACTTTTATAAGATTTAATCCTTATTTTTCTCTAAAACAAATTCTACAAAGTGGTGCCCCAAAACTTACTAAGATATTTCAGAAGGGAATGAGTTCCTGGAATTATCCCAAGGTCCCAGGGGTTTTCCCCTGCAATATGAAAACTAATAAATCTTTAAACTCCTTCATCTCCAATCCTCTAAAATCTACCAAGATGTTTTTACCTGTTCTACAGACTGTGATTATTTGACTTTATTTCTGTAATTCCGACATAGCCAAAGCTGAAATGATAGGAAAAAAAGTGTCTTGCAGATTTTTTCTTTTTTCTTTTCTTATAACGTAATCTCCCTTGGAAAGTCCAAAGTGGGAGTTTGTCCTGCTTACTGGGACACTTGCTTCAACATTGAAAGTTCATTAATCTTTCCCAGTGTTCTAAATTCTTTGGCTATAGCCCTTAGAAGTTTTTCTGACTGGCTCCAATTTAAATCTTTCAAGGTGATAGAATCTACACAGACATTTTACATGACACAGACATTTTACATTTTACCAAGACACACAAGACAGATACAAACAGACACAATTTTAACGAAGTGTTCAGTTATAATCAATAGCTGGGCATACCAGTTTAACAGAGACATGGAGTTAACTGAACATTCTCTTAGCCTGTGGGGAGGCCAAAGCTAGAACAGAGCCTCCTAGTCTGCAGAGGCTAGAGCCAAACAGAGCAAGCAGAAACAGTTGTTTAGGGGAACAGAGTGTGCAGAAACGATATCTTTGCCATAGTGATCCAAGATGAATCAGGACACCAGCGAATCCTGGAGTTTTCCTCACAAAGAATGACGAGCTTGACTAAGGCAGGAGCTTAGAGACTGGAGCAGGGAGAAGGGGACAGGACTCACCAGATAAGGTGGGGTTGGACTCCAAAGAAATCAATCTCCAGTGTGGTCTAGTCTCTTCTCATTAGTATGGGAGAGTCCAATAGCCCAGTTCCATTTCCGATCCCACTTCTAATGCCATATGTATTTATCATTTTCAGCACATTAATATTCCTTTATAGTTATGTATCACAATTTGTTTAGCCATTTCCCAATTGATAGGCATCTAGTTTGTTTCTATTTCTTTGCTATCCCAAAAAGTACTGCTATAATTATTGTGGTTTAATGGAGCCTTTCTTTTTGGCAATGACCTCTTTGGGATATATGCCTAGTAGGGGAATTTCTGGGCCTAAGGGTATGAACATATTATCCATTTTATCTTCATAATTCCAAATTGCTTTCCAGAATGATTGTATTAATTCACAGCTCCACCAACAATACATTGGTTTACAAATCTTTCTATAATCTCTCCAATATCAACTAGTTCCATTTTTTATCTTCTCTTCCATTGGCTGGGTGTGAGACGAAACAGAGTTATTTTGATCTATATTTCTCTCATTACTAGTGCTTTGAAGCATTCATTTCTATTAATAGTTTTCTATTCTTCTTTTAAGAAAAATTCAGTAGTATCCATTGACCATTTATCTACTTAGGGAATGGCTTTTATTTTTATATATTTATTTTAGTTGCTCATATATATATTTGTTATTAAACCTTTACTGGAAAGGTTTGATACAAATATTTTCCTCCAATTAACTGCTTTTCTTCTTATCCTAGATATTGTAGTTCTGTTTGTACAAAACATTTTAAATTTTATGTTACCTAATAAAAATTACCTATTTTGTCTTTTGTAATTGCCTCTATCTCTTTGATTAAGAATTCATCTCCTACTCAAAGCTGGGAAAAGTATATGGTCTACTTCTCTTTTAATTGTTTAGGGTATGACCTTTAATATTTAAGTGGTACACTCATTTTGAATTTACTGTGGAATATTGTGTAATATGTTAGCCCAAGCCTGATTTCTGCCACACTGTTTTCCTCTTGAGGTCACTAATCCCAGGTTGAAAGGAGAATTCTTAATGGTTAAAGAGGGACTGAATGGCTTTTAGGGAAATGATTGTCCAAGGTGGGTGACTCTCCTATTTAATGAATCAAAACTGGTAACCTAAATTTCATGCTGTTCTTTGATCTTGATTATGAAATCTTGTCATTCATCTTGAATACTATAAAATTGTAGACTGGAATGCTGGGGGAGAGAATTTTTTAAAAGTTAGGATTCATATAGATAATAGGATTTGGCTCTGGAAAGGAGCTTAGGGAACACCTACTACAACACCCTCATTTTACAGGTCCAGAGAGTATTGAAACTATTTGTATAATGTCACACAGCTAACAAATAACAGAGCCATAAGCTAACCTCCAGTTCTTTTTTTTTCAAAAGCAGTCAAATCTCCATCCCTTTGAATTTCTTTAAGAATACATGCTTAGAATTAAATGAACAAATTTGTTTCTGACAGGCTTGTGTCATGAATGCTGAGTATTGAGATTTTATTTCACAAATATATTTGTATACATGTAGCTCCCCATTAGAATGGAAACTCCACGAAGATGGGGACTTTCACTTTTTGTCTTTGCATCCCTACCCTTAGCATAGTGCCTGGAACATAGTAATTGCTTAATAAATGCTTCTTGATTGTTTCCTTCCTCATAACTATAATACTAGGGTAGTAACTGCCTATGGGATTGTTATCCATCCAGCAAGTGGTTGTGTTGAGGTTTAGGAGTGCTGGGACCCCAAAATATCTAGAACAAGAGATGCAGTCCCATCCAAATGAATTTGACCCAAGCCTTCTTTCAGTGAAAGACAAGGTTTATTAAAGATTCAGCATATTGGCCAGACTCTTAAGAAATCTGAACATTTTTGGACAAAAGCAGGCTAGAGTAAATCTAAGCCATTGGCTAGATTTTAAGAATCTGAGCACTTGGCTAGACCCTTAAAGAATCTGAGTACCTTAACGGGTTGAGAGGGATCTTATATACAGTAAGAATATGGGAAGGATCTAGGAGTGGCCAAGTAGTTTGGGGTGAATGGAGGAGGGGTCTAGGGAGGATCTTGATGGGAGTGGCCAATAGGCTGGGGTGACTGGAGAAGGGGTCTAGGGAGGATCTAGATGGGAGTGACTGGGAGGTAGAATGGGGTCTAGATAGGATCAAGGTGGGTAAATGGCTGGGGGCCATGCCCTGGTAACAAACAATGGAAGGCTAAGCTAGGTTAAGGGTTACAAAGAATTGGGAGATTAGGTATAGCCACTGTGAAAGTAGCCATGAAGAAAGTTGAAAGGATTACTGGGATGATGCCTCAGGCAAACGTCAAAGACTTTGACCAAGTGGGAGAAAATCTAGGAGAGTTAGGGGGGAGGTTTCTCAGGGCTTTGTACCCCATCATTCCCCCCTCAAACAAATGGGATCCAAATTCTTTTGGGGTAAGGGGCAAAGGTCTCGGCTTGGGTCCATACCTGTTAGCTGCAATTTGATTCAGCAGCAAATATTTATTAAGTGCCTACTGTGTACAGAGCACTGAGCTAAATCTGAGGGAAAGTAAAGAAAGTTTAATACCTCCAGGATCCCTGACCTCTTGGGTTTACAGTCTAATGAGGTGATAAGACACAGTCATGAATTTATATATATATATATATATATGATGCATTGCATTATTTACAAGAAAAGATGTAAAATTTATTGCAGAAAAAAAGTCATAACCAACTAGGGGCATTATGGAAGACCTCCAGATAATCAGTGTAGAGTTAGGCTTTATCTCTGAGGCAACAACCAGCTCCTACACATTTTAAGCACAAGTCTGAGAATGAGCTACAGTGAGAACAAAGAAGTCATCCTGGCCCAATGCTTTCTCTCTCCACCGCATAAATTCCACAGAATCTTCTGTGTTCTCCGGCTGTTGGGATCCTGTTTATTTTCTAACTAACCAAGAACCCTCTCCCTCACCCAGTGAGACAGCTGAGGTTGTCATACTTCGAAGAGTGGGCTGAGAGCTTGGGGTCTGGGCCTTCTGGGAGAGGGTCGAAGCAGAGAGAGTAGGGGACATTTCGGTAACTAGTAATAATCCCTTGTATCTTTATCCTGGCAATTTTTTTTGGGGGGGGGTAAGGGGGACGGAGCAGGGAAGTGAGAAAATGCTCACGGGTTGCAATTTCCTTTTGACTAAAAGGGAAAGAAGGAAGGGACCAGGACTTGGCCCTGGCCTGCGGGCACTCAGGGGAATGACCATCCCAGCTTCGCGATTGGTTCTGGTTTCCTCTTCCCGAGAGACTGCAGCCCCCCCTCCCTTCCCCTCCCTTTTCCAGGCTAGGGCCCACCCCTCGCCTCGGTCCGCCTAGGGCTAGGGCTTTACCTTTCAATTGTGAGGCGGAGAGGAGTCGGCTGCGGCTGCTTGCTGCTGCTGCTGCTGCTGCTCGGGTTCGGGGCTCCTGGGCCCCTGCTGCAGACCATGGCAGATCCGGCGGTCAGCTGCTTCCTCACCAAACTCTTGTGTGAGAACAAGGCGGGCTCCTCTGATGTCCGGCATTTGAGCCAGAAGATCGGCTGGTCGGAGGCGCAGCTGAACCAGATCCTGCAGGAGGCTGGGCCCGAGCGCTTCTTGCTGGTGGAGGATGAGGACCCCACCGTAGCCGTGACTGTGGCGGTGAGCCCCTTGCGCCTCTGCAGCCACTACCTGCGGGACGAATGTGACGGCTGCGAGAAGCTGCATCTTTGTAAACTGTTCGTTCAGGATAAGTGCAGGTTTAAGAAGCAGGGGTGAGTATGGGGAGGCTGGTGGGGCGGGGCGCGAGGAAGAGATGACTGGAAGGGGGGGGTGGGGTGGTGGTGGTGGTGAAGATGGTGAAGATGGCAGTGGGGATGAGATTGAGGAGACACGCACGAATAGCATCTTACTGAAGCTCTTTGTGTTCCAGATTCATAGATGATTACAGCTGTATCAAAGAGGCTTTCCTCTTGATCGCAGCCGTTAGTTGACCCCCTTCCCCAGCCTCAATAATTTTGTATTTATTGTGTATCTTGCCTTTGTTTCTCTATACAAGCTATCTTAGACTGTAAGTTGCACAGACGGTGCCAGTCTGTATTGGTAGAGGGAATTTCCTGGCGAGGAATTTCCTTATCGGGAAATTCCCTATACCAGCGAAATCACAGGTTTACCCCTATCCCTACCCCTACCCTCCAGTAGAATATAAACTATTTGAGGTCTAGGACTGTTTCTTTTTCTTTTGTCTTTTGTCTTTATCACCCGCACCTAGCTTTGTGTACAGTTTAGGACAAATTGAGTGTTTAAAGAATATTTGTTGAATTGAATAATAGTTCCTTAGAAAACGAAACCTATTATGTTTCAAATTTCACAGAGGAAGGATAAAACCGCCCCGGTAGGATGAAGGTCCTTTACGTCAGGGACTATTTGTTTTTTGTTTTTTGCAATCTTTGGCTTCCCTGGCTTCAGGCTTGACTCCTAATACAGTGTTTTGCTTGTAGTAGGTGCTTAATAAATGCTTATTGAATTGAACTGAACTGGGGAAGTAAGTTCCCCAAAGTCAGAGTTCAGGACTAAAGGAAGGCACTGAGTAGAACAGGTTTTCTCCTGAGACCCAGACCTGTGTTCTTGTCTTGATTTTTAAGCTGTCAAGTCTGTGTGGAAGGGGAAGATTTTGTGAATCAGCCCAAGTCCTGGGAAGGCTCATCGACAACTTCCACAGAGGCTGAACCTTAAAGTCTCTGCCTCCTTCCCTACCTTCTAGTTCTCACTATGCTAGCTGTTTAAGAGAAACGAAACTGAAACAAAAAGGAGAAACATACACCGAAGATTGCCATATTTACAAAAAGAGCTGGAGAAGGAAATGGAAAACCGCTCCAGAATCCTTACCAAGAAAACCAGACTATTATGGACTAACCAACCACAAAGAGATCATGATCTGATATCCCAACACACCCCCAGTCTTTGTCCCTTTTCCCTTCAATACAGGAATGGAACATCTTGGGCTGGGTAGGGGGCTGATAAACATAGGGTTACTCACTTGCCAATGGAGGAACAATAATAAGGCCAGAAGAGTGAGACATGGTTTTTTTGTTTGCTTGTTAAGAATGTGTGAAAAAAAAATTTGTGAGGCCAAATTCCTCCCCTTTGCCTCCACCTTTCAAGCCCACATTGATGCAAAACATCTCACATTATGAGAAACTTAACCTAACCAGAAACATGGGAGTTAAGGGGAAATAGATAAGGAGAGGGTGGATGTCTATCAATTACTTGCTCTTCTGCTCCTCCCTTTCCATATTTTTTTCTGCTAACAGTGAGTTCCTGCTCCCACATATCACCAAATAGAATAACAACTACATTTCACATTTAGCAAAATTCTCTCCAATTTTCAACAAAGAGATTTCACTGGGGGTGAAGAGGGGACTGAAGTACAGAGAGAATAGTACTTGACCTGTATACAACAGGGCTGAAATGGCAAGAATGGAGCTGGGAACCCAGGACACTTAACATCCAGATTCCTGTCATGGTCATTAGTCCCTACTCCCTCTGATTGCTCAAGGCTCTTAATGAATCCTGTTTTCAGAAAGATGAATTGCTCTCAGGTAATACATTTACTTGTTCAAATAAGCCCATTCTTAAAAATGCTGAATTTGTCCAAAAGGAAAAGAGAGGAGGGGTATGGGATTGGTGATTAGCAATGGGGAATTTTAGGTGGAATCTTTATTCCAATGCAATTGATACTAATATTAGGGAACAGTTTGAGTATAACACAAATTTTGCATTCCTTTCATGGGGAGTGCAACAGGAAGGTGATCTTTACAGATGGGTTGAGGGATTAGTGTTGTTAGCATCCAGTGAGAAGAGATATCTGGCTCCCAGTAGGAAAAGGCCCTGTGGTGGGGCCACCCATAGCCACTTGCCCAGGGAATAGGCTGACTGGAGATGGTCCCTGTGCACTACCTTCTTGGAAATGGGCCTTTGAAAAGGAGCCTAACACTCTGTGTGTGTGTGTGTGTGTGTGTGTGTGTGTGTGTGTGTGTGTGTGTGTGTGTGTGTGTAGGCGTGGTGGTCCCCAAGGCACCTCACGTGAGGCTGCACCAAAGCTGTGATCCCAGCTAGCGTCGGTAACCTGGTTCCTACCGTGAGGGTTCCTCCTATCAGAGCTTCCTTTGGGACAGAATTTAAGTATTACTCCCCCCCCAACCCCATTTTTTTCTCATAAGTCTTATGGTTTTTATTGCTCAGTTTTGCAAAGCGTGATGATTTTTGAGAACTCGTTGTATATATGTCAGAAGAAATGCCTGTACTCAGTGACATTGAGAACAAGGAAAAGAAGGTCTATGTCCTTAGATCCCTGAAATGGGGGTAGCTGACAAAGAAAGACACTATTATATTCCTTTTGTAGGAGAGGTTCTCTCCCCCAATTGAGAAACACTGTCCCTGTAACACCTTAATTCAACTGTTTTCCCACTCTGTGAAATACACTTTTCTCCATTTCCGTCTGACAAATGCCCCTTCTCCTCCAAAGTAAATGGCTTTTCCTGCCCTTGTACCTTAAATTATTGTATTTTCTCCCCCCAAAATAAAAACCTAACTAAAGTTCTTTCTAAGGAAGGAGGGGAAAATAGAGTATTACCAGATGCCCTGAAAAATCTTGAGAACAGAGAATGGGAATGGAGGTCCCCAAATGGGATTATAGGAAGATGAAAAAAGACTTCACCATATATCACCCATGCCTTTCTCCTGCTTCTTAAAATTGAAAATTTATGAGGTAGAAGTGTAGGCAAAATTGCCCTCCTGTCTCAAGACCAGAATTTTATACTTAACATAGGCAGTTCATTGGATGTAGAGAGGGCATGACGCTAGTCAATAAATGGGCAGCTAGGTGGTGACAGTGGATAGAGCTCTGGGCCTGGAATCAGGAAGATCTGAGTTCAAATGCAGCCTCAGATACTTCCTAGTTATGTGACACTGGGGAAAGTCACTTAATTTCTGTTGGCCTCAGTTTTCTCATCTGTAAAGTGGGGATAATAATAGCATTTATGTCCCAGAGTTGTGAGAAATAAATGAATATAATAATTACATATATATAATATATATAAATTATAAATAATTATAAAGCTCTTAGCACAGTGCCTGGCATGTATTAAATACTATACAGATGTTAGTTATTGTTATTGTTAAATGTTTATTTTTATCTACTAACAAAGACAAGTTATCACCAAACCTTGTTCTGTTTTGTTGCCTTGATTTTATTCTTCTCTTGGGCCTCATTACTTCTTAAAAGCCCAATAAGAAAACCTCCAACCCTAAATAATAAAGATTTGGAGATGAATGTTTATCTTTGCGCCTAAAATAAACTGGAATTTTCTCCACATGCATTTCCAACAATGCCTTCTTTCTCCTCTAACTCTACCTCGTAATTCTGATGCCATGGGTTTGATTCTACTACTAATGTGGGGGAGGGGTAACACTTGAGGCAGAGAGTTCCCATTTATATCCCAATTCATGAAGAAATTTGTGGTACTTAAGGAATTTTTTTTCTTCTTTGAAAGTCAGAGGGATGGTTGGGAACAAGGTGAAGATAACTATGAAAAACTGGCCATGGACGACAAGATTAAGTTTATTGGGTGTGAGGTGGGCGTACAATGAAGGCAATTTACACATATATGTATGCATATAAAATTATATATATTTTGTGTTTCAGTTGTGTGTGACTCTTCATGACCCTATTTGCATTTTCTTGGTAAAGATACTGAAGTGGTTTGCCATTTTGTTCAGCTCATTTTATAGATGAGGTACTAAGGCAAACAAGGTTAAGTGACTTGCCCAGGGTGAGACAGCTAGTGAGTGTTTGAGGCCAGATTTCAACACAGGGAGATGAATCTTCCTGACTCCAGGCCTGGCACTCTACTATGCCACCTAGCTACCCCCAGTCACACACACACACACACACACACACACACACACACACACACACACACATACACAAGATCAATATGCATATTATATATGTGTATACATACAAACATACATATATATATATTCCATGTGAATTTGAAAAGGTGATTTAAGAGAAAAATAGTAAAGCAGAACTGGAAATTGGATCAGGGTTGACCATATAGCTTCCCATTTTTCACCATTGCAGTAGAATCCACTAATTAAGACCAATTCCATTTCCTGGTGTTATAGGTTGTGGGTTACAACAGCAATTGATACCACATGGCAGTCCAGTCCAGTTTCAGATCCCCCCATAGACCACTCCTTCGCAAGATTTATACATCATTCACTCAACCCTACTTCTGTCCTGAGATTCCTCTTTCCTTGTTTTAGTCATCAATCACCACCTAGTTCACCTTTAATCTCCTAGCTTCTTATTCTACCAGATTCAAGCCTAAACCTTCTTGAGTATTAGGGTGGGGCCAGAACTAATTTAGAAAAGGAAGAGGAAATAGCACCACTACACAGAATCCTTTGGGATCATTGATTGGAATCATAGCATTTTAGGCCCATCTATTTACTCTTTCTAACCCTGAACTGAGGATTGACTTCTTCTATAACCAATCCAGAGCTGATAGTTGGGATTAGCACTGAATTTCCAAAATATGGAGGCTAGTTAGAGTTTTGAGGTCCTCCTGCTCCCTGGTCAGTCAGTCAATAAACATTTATTAAGCACCTACTGTTTGCCAAGCACTGTGTTAAGTGCTAGGAGATAGAAAAAGAGACAAAAGTCCTTGTCATCAAGGGGCTCACAATCTAATAGGGTAAGACAACA